GAGCAAATGCTTAGCAAATTAACAGTCAGGACTTGAACTCAGATCTGCTGATATGTTTCACCTCTTGTGAAACTGCTTCCTACACCTTAGTGTTATATGTTTTGGGTTTAATTCTTTTTGGCCTCTTTTTTCATCTTTGAAAAGATCAAAATTGACCAAGCTTTATAGGGTCAGTTCTGTGGTGTGTGGGGGCTTTTTTTGTTTTTTTTTACATTGTACATTTTTATGGGGCACAGTTTGTTGTCTCAATACGTGCATATGTCGTGTAATGATCCAATCAGGATAGGTAGCATATCTATCATCTCAACATTTCTCAATTGTTTCCGGTTTTAACATTCAAGGGCTTCTTTTCTGGCCATCTTGAAACATACAATACGATATTATTAGCTATAGTCACCCCAGAGCACCAGAACTTATTCTTCCTGTCTGACCGTGACTCTGTAACTTTGTACCCGTCTACCAGCATTTCTCCTCCTGTCACTGGTGACCACTATTCTACCCTCTGTTTCTCTCTCTCTTTTTTAATTAATTTTTCTTAATTGACTCATGATAATTATATGTTTTTATGGTGTGCAAAATGATACTTGGGTATACCTCCTGAAGCGTAACTTGTCGAACTTTTCTTTCTCAAGAGCAGGGAGGACGTGCTTACCAATGAGCATCAGAGAGACAAAGAGAGGGTTAAGTCACTACAAGTGACTGAGTTTTGAAAGGAACTCAGTTTGGAGCAATATCACTTGCCCTACAGAGACCTCCTATGAAATATAAACAAATCTTCCTCTCAGTTTTCCCCTCCTTTCCACTCCTTATTCTACCCAAAACGTTGGTCTTCACATTTACTAAACTTTTCAAACAGCCTAAAATGGACTTGAGTCATTTGTGTTTCTTTTCCATTTTTCTTCCTGCGTTAGATTTTCATGATAAACCTCAAGCGCAGAAAGGACAGGCGGGACCGGATGCTGCGCACACTGCACGAGCAGGAGATTGAGGTCAAGATTGTCGAGGCTGTGGATGGAAAGTGAGTTGGGGTTTTTCCTTCCCTTGCAAATGTGGCCGCAGTGGGATATGCCTTCTGCAAAAAGAGTTGGTGGGACTCTAAGACTCTTCAGTCATTGGAGGACAGACACATTTTTTTATATAGCCATGTGCCCCTGTAGTAGCACTTAAGTTAATTGCACCCTGTAGAGCAGCCGTGAAATCCACTCACCATGCCGTGACCTTCGGTTTTCATGACACTGAAGACTCATGCTGGGTGTGGCTTTCCCCTGTCTTTGGGGGTTCCTGCAGTAGCGCTGGTGGTTTCCTGCTCTCTGTGGTGTAACAGAAAGAATGTGGTCAGGATTGTGTTCAGAGCCTGACTTAGAGCACTGTGCTGAAACTGGGCGACCTGGAGAAAATAAACAGAAAATTGCATAAAGGGTTTTACGTCCTGTTGCATGAGATGACTGCCACAATCTGCTTGGGGTGACCATGTTGGCCACTTTTCCCAGAAACGTGGCAGGAAAGTCACCTGGTTGGATTCCTTCAGGAGATTTTGTTGTTGTTATTTTATTTTGTTTTGCCTTGCCTTGCTCTTTTATTTAGCATCCTAAACCATTTCAACACATTGATTTTTGCAAAACATGCATTTCCATGTTATTTGTTAGTGTGACTTTGTTCTCTGTTTATATACTCCCAAGGAGTATGGACAGCAGCTCTTGAAGTTCTGGTGACTCCCTTAGAGAATTTTATCGGTGTGGTCTGGACACACATCAGAGTCCCCAAGGAGGGTTAAGAGGGCACTTTCCTAAGTCCCATCTCAGACCTGCTGAGTCATGACCTCTGGGGCTGCGCCCAGGATCTGGAGGTGATTCCTGGATAGGGATTCCATATAAAATACAGGACCAGTTAAATTTGTCTGAAACATTGCATGGGGCTTAGTTATACTAAGAAAAAAATTATTGTTTACTGAAATTTAAATTTGACTGAGTGTTCTTTGTTTTCACTTGCTAAATCTGGCAACCCTATTTTTGAGTGCAGTAGTAGAGTTTGGGAACCACTGGCTTCCAATACCCGCAAGATCCCAGACCCGTTCATAGGCCACATGAACCAGGGATGCTAGTTGAGTTGTGAGAGTTCTTTATATGTTCTGGATATAAATCCCATATCAAATGTATAATTTTTAAAAAATCCTCCCAGTTTATGGATTTTCAGTTTCATGATGGTGTCCATTGATACAAAAGAGTTTTTAATTCTGTTAACATCCAATTTGCATTTTGTTATCTCATTTCCTGTGCTTTTGGTGTCATATCTAAGAATCCATTATCAAATTCAAAGCCATAAAGACTTGCTCCCATGTTTTATTCTAATAGTTCTACAGTTTTATGTCTTACATTTAAATCTTTTTCCATGTTAAGCTAATTTTTGTATATGGTATGATATAGGGGACCAAGTTCATTCTTTTGTACATGGTTATCCAGTTGTCCCTGCACCCTTTGTTGAAAAGACTGTTATTTCTCCATTGAATTGTCTTGGCATCCTTGTCAAAAATCAATTGACCATAAAAGAAAGGGTTTATTTCTGAACTCCCAATTCTATTCACTTGATCTAACTTTCTCTCCTGATGCCAGTACCACAGTATCTTGATGATTATAGCTTTATATATAGGAAGTATGAATCCTTCAACTTTGTTATTCTTTTTCAGGATTGTTTTAGCTATTCTGGGTACCTTGCATTTCCATATGAATTTTAGAATTAGCTTGTCAAATTTCACAGAAAAAAAAAGGCAGCTTGGATTTTTATAGGAATTGCATTGAGTCTATAGATCAATTGAGGGTGTATTGCTGTCTTACCAATATGACGTCTTCCAATTCATGATCATAGTATGTCTTTCTATTTATTTAGATCTTCTCTCATTCTTTGAATGATGTTTTGCCATTTTCAATGTAAAAGTCTTACATTTATTTTGTTAAATTTATTCCTGAGTATTTTACTCTTTTTGATCTATCATTCAATGAAATGTGTTTTGCTCTTTTTGATGCTATGGTTAAATGAAATTGTTTCCTTAATTTTATTTTCAGATTTTTCATTGCTAACTGTATAGAAATACAATTTTTTTTTCTTGGTGGCTGGCCAGTAAGGGGATCAGAACCCTTGACCTCAGTGTTATAAGCACCATGCTCTAACCACGTGAGCTACCAACCAACCAGCAATTGATTTTTGTATCTTGATTGTATGTCCTGCAACCTTGCTGAACTCATTTATCAATTCTAATAGTTTTTTTCTTTGTGTGTGTCTATTCCTTAGAATTTTCTATATACAAGACCATGTCATCTGCAAATAGAGATATTGTTATTCTTTCCTGTCCAATCTGGATAGCATTTACTTTTTTTCCTGCCTAATTATCCTGGCTAGATCCTTGACACAGTATTGAATAGAAGTGGTCAGCACAGACATTCTTGTTCCTGATTTTAGGGGGAAAGTATTTAGTCTTCCACAATTAAGTTTGATATTAGCTGTGGGATTTTTACAGATGACCTTGATTGGGTTGAAAAAGTTCCCCTTTAAAACCATTTTGTTGAGTATTTTTATTGTGAAAAGATATTGGATTTTGTCAGATGCTTTTTCTGTATTTATGGAGATGATCGTGTGGCTTTTGTCTATTAATATGATGCATTACTTTCATTAATTTTTATATATTAAACCAAACTTGCAACCTGGTGATAAATCCAATTTGGTCATGCTGTACAAGTATAATCCCTTTTATATGTTGCTGGATTCTGTTTGCTAGTATTTTCTTGAAGATTTTTGCATCTATATTAATAAGAGATATTGGTCTATAGTTTTCTTGTGATGTCCTTGATTTTGTATCAGAATAATACTGGCTTCATAGAATAAGTTCGTATGTGATCCCTCTTTTCCTATTTTTTGGAAGAGTTTGTGAAGGATTAGTATTAATTCTTCTGTAAACAATTGGCAGAATTTTCCAGTAAAGCCATCTGGTTCTGGGATTTTATTTGTGGGTAATTTTTTGATTACTAATTTAACCTCTTTACTTGTTATAGGTCTATTCCAAATTTTTATTTCTTCTTGAGTCAATTTTAGTAAATTGTATCTTTCTATCAATTTGTCCATTTCATCTAGGTTGTCTAATTTGTTGGCATATAGCTGATACAGCTGTTCATAGTATCCTTTCTTTCTTTTTTTTTTTTTTTGGTGGCTGGCCAGCACAGGATCCAAACTCCTGACCATGGTGTTATCAGCACCACACTCTCCCAAGTGAACTAATCAGCCATCCCTGATAGTATTCTCTTATAAGCCTTTTTAGCTCTGTAAGGTCAGTAGGGATGTCTCCTCTTTCATTTCTGATTCTGATAATTTTAGTCTACTCTCTTTTTTTTATTCATCAGTTTAGGTAAAGGATTTTCAATTTTGTTGATCTTTTCAAAGAACTCACTTTTGGTTTTGTTGATTTTCTCTACTGTTTTTCTATTCTCTAGTTTATTTATTTCCACATAGTCTTTGTTATTTCCTTCTTTCTGCTTGCTTTTAGTTTGTTCTTCATTTTCTACTTTTTATCCATTGAATTGTCTTGGCATCCTTGTCAAAAATCAATTGACCATAAAAGAAAGGGTTTATTTCTGAACTCCCAATTCTATTCACTTGATCTAACTTTCTCTCCTGATGCCAGTACCACAATATCTTGATGATTATAGCTTTATATATAGGAAGTATGAATCCTTCAACTTTGTTATTCTTTTTCAGGATTGTTTTAGCTATTCTGGGTACCTTGCATTTCCATATGAATTTTAGAATTAGCTTGTCAAATTTCACAGAAAAAAAAAGGCAGCTTGGATTTTTATAGGAATTGCATTGAGTCTATAGATCAATTGAGGGTGTATTGCTATCTTACCAATATGACGTCTTCCAATTCATGATCATAGTATGTCTTTCTATTTATTTAGATCTTCTCTCATTCTTTGAATGATGTTTTGCCATTTTCAATGTAAAAGTCTTACATTTATTTTGTTAAATTTATTCCTGAGTATTTTACTCTTTTTGATCTATCATTCAATGAAATGTGTTTTGCTCTTTTTGATGCTATGGTTAAATGAAATTGTTTCCTTAATTTTATTTTCAGATTTTTCATTGCTAACTGTATAGAAATACAATTTTTTTTCTTGGTGGCTGGCCAGTAAGGGGATCAGAACCCTTGACCTCAGTGTTATAAGCACCATGCTCTAACCACGTGAGCTACCAACCAACCAGCAATTGATTTTTGTATCTTGATTGTATGTCCTGCAACCTTGCTGAACTCATTTATCAATTCTAATAGTTTTTTTCTTTGTGTGTGTCTATTCCTTAGAATTTTCTATATACAAGACCATGTCATCTGCAAATAGAGATATTGTTATTCTTTCCTGTCCAATCTGGATAGCATTTACTTTTTTTCCTGCCTAATTATCCTGGCTAGATCCTTGACACAGTATTGAATAGAAGTGGTCAGCACAGACATTCTTGTTCCTGATTTTAGGGGGAAAGTATTTAGTCTTCCACAATTAATGATATTAGCTGTGGGATTTTTACAGATGACCTTGATTGGGTTGAAAAAGTTCCCCTTTAAAACCATTTTGTTGAGTATTTTTATTGTGAAAAGATATTGGATTTTGTCAGATGCTTTTTCTGTATTTATGGAGATGATCGTGTGGCTTTTGTCTATTAATATGATGCATTACTTTCATTAATTTTTATATATTAAACCAAACTTGCAACCTGGTGATAAATCCAATTTGGTCATGCTGTACAAGTATAATCCCTTTTATATGTTGCTGGATTCTGTTTGCTAGTATTTTCTTGAAGATTTTTGCATCTATATTAATAAGAGATATTGGTCTATAGTTTTCTTGTGATGTCCTTGATTTTGTATCAGAATAATACTGGCTTCATAGAATAAGTTCGTATGTGATCCCTCTTTTCCTATTTTTTGGAAGAGTTTGTGAAGGATTAGTATTAATTCTTCTGTAAACAATTGGCAGAATTTTCCAGTAAAGCCATCTGGTTCTGGGATTTTATTTGTGGGTAATTTTTTGATTACTAATTTAACCTCTTTACTTGTTATAGGTCTATTCCAAATTTTTATTTCTTCTTGAGTCAATTTTAGTAAATTGTATCTTTCTATCAATTTGTCCATTTCACCTAGGTTGTCTAATTTGTTGGCATATAGCTGATACAGCTGTTCATAGTATCCTTTCTTTCTTTTTTTTTTTTTTT